TGCAGTTTCACAAGACTCTCAAACCATGGCACACATTCAAATGTCTCCCAGACGTACGCTAATCAAACCAAGCAATTGTGGAACATTTGCTGTTGTCTGTCATCTCCTCTCCGAAGCACCGTACACCGACGTAGGTAGATTTCAGACTGAATTCGTAGATTTGGTGACTTTCGTCGAGTTCGCCGTTTCGCTCAAAAATCAGAAGGAAGGACTTCAACGGTCTGAAACCTTGACAGTATACTTATTAATTGACTGGCTCTTCCATTGCTTATCAAGTAGTTATACGATACTTTGTCGTCTCCATTTAATAAGTAAATAGCTGGGGGGGGGGGGGGTGCTGAAGACCCTTGGTGATGACTTACGCCAGTTATGAAAGAAATCCAACCTTAGAGAGCAATTTTTTGGCCTGCCGCTTTGAACACATGCACTGAATTCTGTGCGTGTCTCCAGAATGCTGCGAAAAGTCGTAGACTTCTCGAGAGTCATCATGGTTAACCAGCAAATCGCCTCCTTCGTGAGGTAAAGGAGGGCAAATAAACAGAGTTCGAGGGTCAATTTTTTTTTCCCGCTGTCAGCTTGGTTCGAAAAAGCTGGTGTTGTTTTCAATGTGGTCAATTTCTTAGAATTGTCCCCAAACGAGGCACATCTGATTGACAGGTTTTTTTGTAGGTGGAATCCTTGTACTTATGATAGCGTCACGCGATGTTGCCAACCATGTAACAAACAATTCCAAGAAGAGGCATTGTTTCCGCCTGTTTCCGCCGGATGTCGCTGATAATTCCAAGAAACCACGAACTGACGCCGATCGCGCGCAAGGTCATGTAAAACAACGATACATTTCTACAAATCTCGTCGCGACAACCGACGGATTCATCCAGAATTTTCTTTTATTATTCGAGTTATCCTAGCCTGCGAGCAGGCTCACCTTTGAGTCACACGCGCGAGCGTCGAAGAGCAAAGCGATCCGGCGGGAAGGAGTCTGCATGGTGAAGAGGCGCCAAGAAAGTCCCTTTCTTGATTAAGCGCTTGCGGCTACGCCGCGCGCGCTTGTGCTCCAACGTGAGCCTGCTCGCAAATTAGAGTTATCCCAAAAGCAAATAAATATATAAATATATAAAAAGAAACTTAAAAAAACTTATCGATGTCGTTCGCGTCGTTTCTAGTGAATATATGAAAGATCATATATTTCCAGTTGTTGTTTTGCAGAACGACACTGAAAAATTTACCAAGATTTAGAACTCACGTTTAGAGACCCTGAAATGCTCATTAAACCCTTTCTTTAGCAATTTCCCTGTTGCCGTTGCCGTTGTGGTTTGTTTAAGTTCCCTAACTTTCCTCGAGAACTGCTTCAACCGTCAAACGCACGATACGCGAGCATTTCCCGCCAGAAACGCCTAAGTTATTCTGGTCCACGGAGCCTCTGCTTCTTTTGGTGACGTCAAAAAATTAGCACTGACGACGAGAATGCATCTTCTTTTACTGAACTCCTCCACTTTCAAGTCAAAAGTTTACGCAAAATTTGAGCTTTGAATGCCTCACGTGGGTAGAGAATTTAATTAAAAGTTATTGGATTGTTGCGTTTTACCGCTGTGAAGGTGCAAACAGGCTAGCCTTGAGGCTCAGACCGCAAAGTCTAGATTCAACATTATGCAATTCTGTTTACTTGGTTTGGACTATTGAATATCCACGAGAACATGAAGCAAAATAGGACAAACATTTCACACGTTTAGAAGGACGTGAACTCACTTCAATTCCATATCAAAACGAAAGGCGCATATATTTGTTTTTGCCCGAGGGTAAAAGAGCACTGATGTTTATCTCAGTCTTTG